TAGTCCCTTAGAATGAAATAGGAAGGGGCTGAGCCGTCCAATCTTATGAACCTGTTCAGGTCTCCTCGATAAAAAAACAAAGAAACAGAACCAACCCCAATCAAACATAGCAACTAAGCCCTCCAATCTTATGGTACAGGTTCGGCCCCTGAAAAGTCAGCCGCAGTCAAACCCTCACAATTCAGAGCAATTAGACAGTCCAATTTTATGGAGCTGGTCTGACTCTCCATGCAATTCAAAAATAAAATACAGCGGTCAGGCCGTTCAATCTTATGGAACTGGTCTGACCCTATAGGACCCTGCCAACCTCAAGCAAAATCACCTTTCACCCACCCTTCCCCCAGATGTAGCCCCTTGTGTTCACAATCTGCGTTCAGGTCATCAACAATCTGAAAGTGCGATTACACACACATTCCTTTACTTGATCAGAGTTATCTCCAGTCAGTCAAACCAAAGTCAAAGTAGGGATGCATACAGTATACTCAGCCAAACGTAGCAAGGGGTACAGATAGGGGTTATACCAGGGTATATAAAGGGGGAAGCAGTGGTTACCTCTTAGTTCCCTGCCTCCAGAACTCCTCCTGAGTCCCGGCAGAGCTCCTGCAATCGTGGGTTGACTCCCCACAGAGTCTTGATGCGGTCCTACGGGTTGCAATTCCGCCTGCCGCCTTCCTCTCAGAACCAAAGGACCAGACTTAGAGTAAGATGGGCAGAGGGAGAAACATTTAGTCTCTCAGATACAAGAGGGATGCACTCAAACTCGAAGAAGAGGGCCTTCAAATCTTCGAGCGCCTGAGGGCCCCGCAATGACGGCCAGACAAAACGCAGCAGTTTGGCCTGACCGAAAGTCAACTGTCGAAACCTACCCTCCAACGACCTCCCAGACTGCAACAGTGATCCTTATCTGTCCAGTCTGATCGCCTCCCTAGGCTCCAATACTTCCCCTTAGTCCGCCGCGGCCGCACGACAACCCATGGTAGTCCTTAGACACAACACAGTACTCAATGGCGGTCCATAGTAACAGCAGTTGCCCGTACCCAGTCCACAGCAGCACTGTTAGACTGAAGTCAAAGTGTCAAAAGCTGACCTCCTAACGGTCCCCCAAATCGCGACAATGTGCCCTTCTTTTGCAGCCTGATCATTTCCCTAAACCGTTGTGTCGTCTCCCCTTACCACAACGTGTGTGTACAGCGTGGTCACCCTTCGAATCACAGCGTTTCAATCAAGGCACACCCTCTATGCTCTATTGAAAGCCACAACAACAACCTCGCACCGCCCGTAGTAGTAACAAGGCACTAATAAACTTATTTGATGACGACTGAGTTTTGTATTCACTGCAGCTTGCAGCACAGCCCTGATGGCAGCCGCAAGTTGCACAATGTCCCACAACAAAAACTCAGTGGAAAGGCCATGCATAACCCTACCTACTCAGGCAACTACACAACTGAGCGCCCAGTAGCGGAGTAAGATCCCATAAATCACAGCGTCATATCGCAGGAAGTACAGCGGCACGCAGCTCATGTAGCATCATAGCTTTGAGCGAAACCCGCATCTCCCGCCCTTCTCCATGGCCCAAGGCCACTGGCCGCCGCACTCTGCAAGCGCTGGCATGGGACGGACTTGTTACCCCTCCAGCCCTACTTTGATACATCATCTCCCACCGAGCTTGTCTTAGGACACCTGCGATAGCTGCTAACAAGTGTGCTGCTCCGACCAACCCCCCTCATCTCTGGCTGTCCTCGGTCCTCACCTCTCTCCGTCACCTATAGAACCGAGGAAAGAAGGGGCCCAAGCTTCGGCTTCAACCGGTAAGTATGGAATCCCTCAGCTTACCACTCCCCTCTTCTCAACTCCTTTCGCCGCTCTCTTCGCCGTTTATATGGGAATAAACCTGCTGCTAAAACATGGAAACATACCCTGCCTTTCCAAACTTCCCCTGGGCAAAACAAGAATGAACCTTCCCTTACAACATGGGAAGGTACATCTCACGTTCGAACTCTCTTCTCGACGCAGCCATTCGTATCGACCTCGGCTACACACCACACCCACAGGTAAATATAAGACTACCAATACGCTTGCACCGCCATAAAACCCAATATCCAAGTTTTTCACTCGCTCAATTTCCATCAAGGGGCGAGTGAAATGTTTGTTTCTTGCTTCTCCACACTCGTTTTCAATGAGAACCGAGCGATGAATCCCATTTCTCTCCCTTCCTCTCTGCCACCTCCACGCAACATCTTTCTCGACTAATTTTTAATTCTACTAACCTACCGCCCATCCCAACTGCAATTTCATGGTCGCCCGCCCCTAAGCATTAGTTCAGTATTTTACCCCACTTGATTCTACTAAGAATCGTGTGAGATCTACTCCTTTCTAACTCTCACCTTCCCGGCCATCGCTCCGACTCAGCGCACATAATCTTCATTATAACTCCTAACTTACTAATATAACACTAAAATTGACCTCAAATTTCGAGGTCGCCCATCCCCAAAGCTCCAAATTCGCAACTTTCCCTGTCTAAATCCGTCCGCTAACGAGTTCAAAACACTCGTTTCCCCTTCTTCTGCTCCTCTCCCGCCATCTCCAACCCAGTCATGCGTGCACCTGGCCCCCTTTTTCGTCCAGGTTCACTTCCTATTCTAACTCGGAATCTACTAACTCCCTCCCTAATCTGGCTTCACCATCACGTTCGCCCTGGCCTAAAACCCCGGGAACGAATCTTGATTCATAACAAACGGCCACCAAATGGCCGACTTATCACTTTTTTTTTTTTTTTTCTCCTTTTCTTTTCATTGTTCCCTGCCATTACTCCGCGCGGCCTGTTTCTCGACTAACTTCTCTTTTACTAATTCTTTCATTAATCTAATACTTCCAACGAATTCCCCCAGGGTTAAAACCCCAGAAACGAGTCTTGGTTCGCTCGATCTCATCGAGAATCGGGCGAACCATTCGCCTTTCGCTCCTCCCTACTTACTCATTCCCGCCATAGCCCACGCACCGACTTTTTCTTCCCGCTCCTTTTCTACTAACTCTCTACTAAATCTAACTACAGACTCGGGATCGCCTATCCCGAAAACCCCCACCCACTACGTTCTCCCTCTCGATTTCATTAGAAAACGAGTGAGATCTTCGTTTTTTCTCCCTCTCCATGTCTGCTCTTCCCCATACCTCCGCGCAACTCATTTCTTACTAACCCGCTATTCTACTAATCTATCACTAAAACTCACTCTACCATCTTACTCGCCACACCTAAAACCCCCCTACTACAATCTCCCCCAGCCCGTTTTCACCCAGTATCGTGCAAGCAGCCCCGCTCCCGCTGCGCCTCACCTGCCTATCCGCCATCACCAGCCTCCCTCTACCCCGCATGCACCTATGGCGGCTATCCGTCCGGGTGCGTCCTCTTCTCCGCTGTCTCCCTCAGCACCCGTCGCCCCCTACTCCGTTGCAGCGTTGTGCCTCACTGCCTTGGTCACTATCACGCTGCCTCACCCGCGATGCTCCAATCCGCCGTGCCAATCCTCGGATGTACCCTTCGCGCCAGGTCCATCTCCTCTTTGGCTCATCCTCTCACCGCTGCGCCCTGCCCCGCCTTGCTTTTTCCCCTTGTCTGATCACCCGCTACCACGACCGATGTTGGCTCCCCGAACTGCGCAGCCCGACGGCTACCGACCGCTGAGCAGAAGCGCTCGGCCGTCGGGCCTCCTTCCTCTTATACGGGCCGCCCCCACGCTGGGACCGTGCTAATCTTTTCTGTATCGTACCAATTCTAAGGGATGTCCCAAAGGACTCCGACCGGTGTGGCGCCCCGCGGCTCCTTGGAGAAATCACCCAGCCCCTCTGAGTCCGACACTGGCCCGCATTCCAACAGTTCAGGGGTGTACCCACCGAGCTATGCTCTTGGGTGCCTGCCACACCCACGGCGCCGCGCCCTAGGCAAAACGGTGTCGGGCGCGGCTAGGGCGTAGCTACGAAAACCGTTTGTAATTGCACTCCAGGCGACCCCGCAAATACAACACACCCTCACGCACTCCTATCGCAGTCTCGCATCCCAAAACGGGACGCAATAACAAAGGAACCAAAAACAGTAAACAAAAGGGAAATAAAATAAACTAAGTGTAAACGTCGGGGAACCGCGGGGCTGCTGGCACCTTGCCACCTCGCGGATTGGGCCCGCCGCTGCGCCCGTAAACAAAACCAAGGGGGATAGCCCCACAGGGCCCGCAACCCCTTAGGTTTCGCTCCATGCCGCTCCACTGCTGCCGCGCCAACACCCGCCGGCCTTGATCCTTGAACCTCCACCACACCAACCCAATATCATAACCTATAGGGCTAAGCCCAAGCCTAAGACCAACACCCGCGGAGCGCCATATAAGGCGGTGCGGCGCTGCGCTCAGGGCCAGGGAAATTGGCATGAGCCCCTCCCCTGCCTACAGCCGTGCGCGCAACCGCCCAGCGTCTGCGCCGACTTACCAAGCTGTACCTCGAACGCCACTTACGCCACTCCACGTGCCAAAACCTACCGCAGTCACACTGTCACCTTCGTCGTCGTCGTCGGGGTCGTCCTCCGTACGCACGCATAACTCAATCAAACGTACCAGCAGAAGAAAGATATCCTTAAATCCTAGTCTAATCAAGGATAAAAAATAAAATAAAATAAAAATAAAGATAGAAGCGAACCGTCTGGCGCCCGCGCCGGCTTTATAATCAACAACAAAAACGGAATCACGCGCGCCTCAAACCTGCCCGCCCACACACTCTTTGTTCTAGACAACCATCCGGCCATTGTATCTCATAGACGCAGTTGCGCCTCACGCGGTATACTTAACTTTAAACCAAACTCATTTTTCTGTTATTTGCAAAAACCAGGGCGGATACCCTTGTAAGGGTATTCGCGCCGACAACGGAGGGCCCAAAGTCCGTACGTACGGGCCGTACGGGCACCGGGGGGCCCGTACGTACGGACGTACAGCCGTACAGACGGGCCGTATTGGTACGGGTGTATACACAGTCCGGCAGGCAGAAGAACTTCAGGATGAGTTACAGCAAGAGATGGACAATGTAGTAGAGAGGAGAAGGAAAGCTATGCAAAGAAAGGCTAGACTAGAGAGTAGAGCTCATGAGCTAGGCAGACTGGAAAGACTAGATGAGTCAACATTAGACCCTGTTGTCTGTGTGCTGCGAGGCGCCTTACTTTCAGTGGCGGAAGCACAAAGCGTTCAGCAGGAATTGTTGGCTGATTTGGTAACAGACCAGAAACAAATTCTGGCTGAACTTCGGGGCCCTTGCACTATGGTGAGGCCGCCACAATTTGCGGTAGTTCCCCTTGCAGCTGCGGGTCCATCATCGATGCCGCAACGCACAGGGCAAACTTTTTGTCCCATGTTTGGCATGCCCTCCCCGGGTGGTTTAGTAGCAACTAGTGGTCCGGTTCATTCAGTCTCAGTCGTACCATCTACAACAGTGGTCACTACAGTCCCACTGTCCAGCCAGGCTCAGGTTAGTATGCAACAGCCTGTTTCAGTGGCTATGCAGCTGCTGCAGCAAGCACCTGGGCCCATGCAGCCTATGCAGTGGATGCCCAAGATAGCTTTGATGAGTCTTAAGCCATTCTCTGGCGGTAAGAAGAAGGAGGAAGACTTGGATATTTGGGTGAGAATTGTGCTTACTTATGTGAGGCATAAGCTCACAAGGTCAGAGCAAGAAGTTGTAGTGGCTGCCTACTTTTTAGAAGGATCGACAACCCGCTGGTTAAATGGCTTAGTGCAACAACAGGGCTACAGTCAAAACTTCGATGCCTGGGCACAATCCCAGACATTGGAAGAGTTCATACGGTCCGTGTACAACAGGTGGCATGACCCACAAGGGGCTCAGAAGGCCACTGACGCTATCAAAAGTCTTTGTTCCCGAAGGTTCAAGAATGTTAGAGAGCTAACGGACGCCGTAGAACGATTAATCGTGGTACCTGGTGTGCGTTTTGACCAGCAGGTTCTCCTAACCGATTACCTAAGGTGCCTACCTTCAGAGGAAAGGACCAAGCTGGTTGATGAAGCCTATGTTGAACAGCACACCTTCGCTTCTTTCAGTAAGAAAGCCCTGGACATCGAGGCAAAGCTAGGATCTGCACATCAGGCACCCAACGATGGTAGGAAGAGACTGCCCCAAGATTGGAAGAAAAAGGGTCAGTTAATGTTCGTTGACCACGATGGTCAAATGACGGAGATTGACGACTACTCAGATCTTGGGGAGTTCACAGAGCACGATGGGGGTGGTGAGACTTCAGATGGTGGAGTTGTGGCATTCATCAAGGAAAAGGCAAGGGGGAGCGGGAAGAAGAAGGTAGTATGGTCCACGGGTCAGGGCGACCAAGGAACACCCGCATGGGTGAAGATTGGTTTAGAATACGAGGTGTGGCGTGACCGCGTTGCTAGGGGTACATGCATGAACTGTGGCAACTATGACCACACGTCCAGGACTTGCCGCGGCAAGAAGATCACCACGAAGGTAACCTCACCAACGGGGGTGGGTTTATCGTCGAACCCTGGAAGTGTTTCTGCAAGCAGCTCACAGGGAAACACCTCGGGYCAGTAGGAGTGTTAGCCGCTCTTACTCGCGCTGAAGTGGTAACGTTGCCACTTCAGACGTTCGCCAAGGCTAGTGACCCACATATCGCCCCGCAGACACATTCAGACCCACCGACACTCTGTTCGAGAGATGTGTCTGAGGCCCTAGAAGAGTTAGAGACTGAGTGGTCAAGGAAGGACCCTAGGGACTCTTGGGCGATGATCAGCAAAGGTCCAAAGGGTGAACATTTCGTGGTAGAAGTAGATGTAGGTGGCTGCAAGGTTGGCGCCTTTGCAGACATAGGCTCTACACGAAATTTCATCAGTCGTGCTTGCGTGGATAGACTGCGCTTAGGGGACCAAGTGCAGCGGCTTAGCAAGACTGTAGCTTCTACGCTAGCCAACAAGCACCAAATGGTAGTAAAAGATTATGTCAAGGACGTAGCCTGTTCCTTCTCCTATGGAGGAGGGGAAGTGATCCACAAGATCTCCTGGTTAGCGACGAACTGCCATTCGACATGCTACTGAGCATGTACTACCTCGAAGACTCGCAACCACAGTTTGATTGGGATAGAAAGGTGTTGATACACAAGTTGCCAAATGGTAGGACCGTTAGGCTGCAGAAGTACAAAACTACCAGTCTAGTGGAGAACTACGGCTGCATGTGCGCTTCGTCTTTCTATAACTGCTACAAGCAGAATCGCGAGGAGGGCATGTACCTAGTGTTTGTCTCTGAAAAAGGGGAGGCCGTTAAATAACCCCCAGAGATAGAACAAGTAGTCGCTCAATATTCAGACCTTTTTTAGGAGCCCACAGACGTGGTGGAAAGGGAGGTTGTCCATGCAATAGAGGTTGTCCCAGGTAGTAAGGTGCCTAGAGGACGAATCTATAGGATGTCTCCTGCGGAGTTAGATGAGCTTCGCCGGCAGCTCAAGGAGCTCACAGAGAAGGGATGAATACGGCCTAGTACCTCCCCTTACGGTGCGCCAGTCTTATTTGTTCCTAAGAAGGGAGGTCCATTAAGAATGTGCATTGACTATAGGGGCCTCAATGCCATCACCGTTAAGAACACGGAGCCCCTACCCCGCATTGACGACCTCTTGGATAGAGTGCAGGGATGTCGGTACTTCACAAAGATAGATCTGAAGTCTGGATACCATCAAATTGCCGTTAGGCCTGAGGAGCAACAAAAAACCGCATTTCAGACTAGGTACGGTCTGTACGAGTTTGTGGTGATGTTTTTTGGCCTATGCAATGCGCCTGGTACGTTCCAACACGCGATGAATAGGATCTTTCATGACTACTTGGACAAGTTTATCGTCGTGTACCTCGACGATATTCTCATCTTTGGTAGGACTGTGGAGGAGCACGCTGAGCACTTGAAAACAGTGTTAGGCCTCCTAAGACAGCAGCAGTACAAGGTAAACTTTGATAAATGCAAGTTTGGTCGCACCAAGATCTTGTACTTGGGTCATGAAATTTCAGCAGATTGATTGAGGCCGGAAGATGTGAAAGTGGCCAGCATACTTGACTGGTCCAGAACTCAAACTGTTACTGAGGTCAGATCGTTTTTAGGGATGACGGGCTATTATTGTTCGTTTGTGAAGAACTATTGTACTATAGCTTCCCCATTAACAGATCTAACTCGACTTGACACCCCTTGGGAGTGGACTGAAGAGTGTGAAGCAAGCTTCAAGAAATTGAAGTATGATCTGACGCACTACGAAGTCCTCAAACTTCCTGATCCTGACAAGCCGTTTGTTGTGACCACAGACGCCAACCAATATGGCATAGGCGCGGTCCTTGCGCAACAGGAAGGGCCCAAGTTGAGACCGATCGAGTATATGAGCAAGAAGATGCCATCTCAGAAGTTGGCTAAGTCCACTTATGAGAGAGAGCTCTACGCCCTGTACCAAGCACTAGTTCATTGGAGACACTACCTCCTAGGAAGGTTCTTTTATGTGAGATCTGACCATGAGACTTTGCGCTGGATCAAGACACAACCAATCTTGTCGGACGCACTCAAGAGATAGATTCAAGTGATAAACATGTATGACTTTCAACTTGATCCTATCAAGGGTACGTACAACAAAGTGGCTGATGCGCTATCAAGAAGGGAAGATTATCTGGGCGCGCTAGTAACTGAGTTTGGCATATCTAATGACCTCACTCAATCGTTGGTGGAAGCCTATCAGGGAGACCCCGTCATGTAAGAGATCATTCGTAGATTCAAGGCAAAGGATAAGAAAACTTTGGATGAATTTACGATGGTAGACGACTTGTTGTTCCTCGATAAGGCAGGGAATAAAAGACTATGTGTTGCTAATAGCAAGTCTTTGCGTAGTTTATTCTTAGGAGAATGTCACAATGCAACTGGTCATTTTGGCTATAGAAAGACATCAGCAAACTTAGTGCAAAGATTTTGGTGGCCTTCTATGTTAGAAGACGCGAAACGTTATGTGGAAACCTGTCAGGTTTGTCAAAGAGATAAACCAATGACTCAGGCTCCGCTTGGGTTAATTAAACCCTTGTCGATCCCTGAAGGAACATGTTTGAGTGTGTCCATGGATTTCATGGATACTCTTGTGACCAGCAGGACAGGGAAGAGGCACATCTTTGTCATAGTGGACCGTTTTACCAAGTACGCTAGACTAATCGCTATGCCTGAAACCGCTAAAACTGACCTCGTCATCAAACTATTTATGGATAATTGGGTAAGGGACTTCAGTCTACCTACATTTATTATTAGTGATAGGGATGTAAGATTTACAAGTGAGTTGTGGTAGTCCGCTGATGAGCGAATGGGCACAAAGCTCCAAATGACGTCAGGGAATCACCCTGAGTCAAATGGTCAGGCAAAACAGATGAACCGGGTAGTGCAACACCTGCTTAGGCATTATATAAAGCCAAGTCAGGATGACTGGGACGAGAAGTTACCTCTCGTCGCCAGCCTGTACAACAATATTGTGCACAACACCAGCAGTATGACTCCCAACCAGTTACATCTTGGTTGGAAGCCCAGATCTGCGCTTGACTTTTTGTTACCAGAAAAACAACCCACTGCAGCACCTAGCAGCATAGAATTTGCTGTCAAGTATGAAAGGATGCTGCAGCAGGCCGTAGAACACATTCAGAAGTCTCAAGATGCTATGATTGCATCTGAGAACAAACATAGACGGCCTTCTAACTTTCAGGTAGATGAGAAAGTCTGGGTAAAATCATCTGAACTGGGACAAGAGATAGAAATCTCAAGAAAGTTGATGCCTCAGTACTTCGGTCCCTGGGAGATCTTAGATATTGTAGGAGATCAACCTGATGGGCCTTCATACGTGATTCGCATCCCTGCTTACCTACGGACTTATCTTGTTTTCCATGCCTCCAAGCTGGCACCTTTTGCTGCCACAGATCTGTTTCCCTCTCGGAGATCTATGCTGCCCCCAACCATGGATGGTGAAGTGGACATTGACCAGATCGTCCAGCATCGAATGATGCCTGTTCCTCGACCATCAGGCAGAGGGCGACCTCCTAAACCAAGAATGCAGTATTGGGTGAGCTTTAGACATCACCTCGATCCCAAGGAAGATCGTTGGTTCACACGAGAAGAACTCATGAGAACAGCACCTCAAATGAATGCAGGCTATGAAAAAGAAAGGAAAGGGAAGATGCCTGCAGAATAAGAAGACTTTTCAGGAGACTCACGAAGTTCAGGAGGAGGGAATGCGAGAATCAGGGTCCTCGGTAGGCCTATGGGGCCCTGTTTGCAGCCTTACCCGCCCTAAGTGAAGGCGGAGGTGTCCGCCCTAAGTGAAGGCGGAGGTGTCCGCCCTAAGTGAAGGCGGGCCTGACTTTTTGCAAAAGGCCTTCAACTGTCAATTTCATATTTGGGGTTCAGGCAGTTGCGACGCGCCAGTTGGTTGAAAGAAACACAGGCCGAGCAACAAGGACATTTCCACGGCCTACCGGGCCTTCCAAAGAATGCAGGCCCTGACCGTGATTCGCAGCCTCATACAGAGACAGTTGGGCGCCCAACCGAACGAGGCCCAGCAGCCCAGTAGCTGCTGCATCCACGCAGCCTCCTGGGGCCTTCCCGAAGCTTCTGGGCCCATGCCAAGGTAGCCAGGCTGCGTGAGCAGGCCAACTCTTTCCATAAAGGAAAGAGCCTGGCCCGGGCTGCCTCATTGAGGCACTCGCATGCTGGGCGGCTGCGCTGCTAGAGCTTATGCTCGTAGGCTGCTGCTAGCGCTGAGAGGCGAGGTGCAGCACGTGCGGTCGTGCAGAGGAGGAGGGCGCTGCTGAGGGCAACACCATAGCCCAACCACCATAGCTGGTGGGCTTGGACTACAGTGAAGCGCAGGGGTGGTCTTCGGGTGACAGAGAGGACAGGTGTGGGTGAAGTCAGGGGATAGGTGAAGGATGATGATGATGATGATGATGTGAGGGCACGTACCTTGTATTGGCGATGGTCTGCATGGGCGGCATCTTCAAGTACTTTGGGCTGCTGCTGATGTCAACAGTTGCATTGTCTTTTTGTAGTCTGTAGTAGCTGTGTAGGAGTAGGCTGGGTGCTGAGCGCCAAGTGTGAGTGTAAGGGAACATGACTCTTTTGTTGAGAAATACACATTTCGTAAAAAAAGAACTTTTTGTCAAAAAGTGAACTTTTTCGACTGCGAATAAACACTCAGTACATGGCCCAATAGGGCACCATGCGACACTTTAAATGGTTAGTATATGAGGTGTTGACATGGCAAATGTTGCGGCGGGGTGTTTTGAGCCCTTCATACGTGAATAGTCATTATTAAATGCAAATTAACACAGTGTAAAAAAAGGCAGGGGCTCGTTGTATGACACCTTGACAATGTTGTCCTAGCTTAGTGTTGTTGTGACAGACAGTATACGATTCAAAAGGGCATCGTGTTGGGTATGTGGTGCCTATTTTCAATAAAAGGTCAGGGGTCCGGCGCCCGACACCTTGCAAGTTGATGGACTGAACCTGTCAATTGTGGTCGGGCGGAAAACCCAGCCTGGTGCACAACATTTGGCAAGTTGAACCCGCAACCCGTCAGTACCCCTGCAACAATTTTGTCCACCATTTATCTTCCCGGAAGGACATGAGGCTCCTTCTCCGGTTGAGAAATAGTAGTTGAACAGTATCACCGAATGATTCGAGAGTTAGCGGTGTTCGACAGAGCACCTTAAGGAAGTGGCAAATAGTCGTTCGCTGTCGATGTCGATTGCCAATAGCACTGTTAGGGGGCCTTGATGCTGGCTCCTGATCTGTTGGGCGATCGAGCAGCTTGAAGAAGTGTGAAAGAGTCATTGGTTGTCTGTGTGGATTGTCATTAGTAGTCTTAGGGAAACTTGATGCGAGATGTGATTCCGGGTCGTGTGTGTGTGTGTGTGTGTGTGTGTGTGTGTGTGTGTGTGTGTGAGAGAGAGAGAGAGAGAGAGAGAGAGAGAGAG